TCTTTCCCTGGCAGTTTTCCCCTCTCTAGGAACAGGGCACCATGCTCTTATGGCTTTGTTGCCAACCCCAGCCTATGGAGTTACTGTATTATCCTACAGGGCTGCATGAAGATGGCAAGCAAACAGCTCCTACAGGGGGTCAGCTAATTCCTTCCCTTCCTGGGTTGAATGTTTTTAGGATGCTGGGGGGAAGGGGGAGTTGCCTTATTTTATCACCTTACTTTAAAACTAAAATTTACATTGGGAGAATTAAGTCTCACCCGTTCATTGTATCTTTTTCTGCATGTGTAAATTTAGCAGTAATAGATTTTTACTGGTTTGCTGGCCTGGGCAGCTAAATTTCTCTACCATTCCTTTATGAGGACAGGGCAGCCAGGGCACGTATCCACATACTCATGCACCATCCTGACTCATGCGTGATCTGCAGCAGCTGCTTTTTTCAAATGGGAAGAGCTAAGTTTAGTCTCCAGGGCCCATTCAGCCCTTGGCCTTGTGACCGAGTCTGGTATTGTTTGTGCTGCTGATCAGCAGTCAGACTAGAGCTTTAAACTGTGCCCACCAATCCCACTGACCTGGTGAGTCTCAGACCAAGCCATTAAATAGCCACAAGAAACATCTTTTGGCCTGAGTTAGATTTGACCTGGTTATCACCAATATTTGAAAGGCTCTAATGTATCATTGAAACAACATCTTGCTTTTCAAAGTTACTCCTCTCTCATTGCTATTAACATATGTTCCTTGCAGCTCTGTTTAAACCTGTTTTGTTCATTGGCTGTGCTGCCTAATCTTGCAGCCCTCAACAGATCTGTTCATTTAGTTCACTCGTTTTTGTCTGCTACACAGGGAAGGCCCCTCAACACCATGTGACTTGAAGAATAGCCATTTCACCCAGAATAACTGTCTCCTGTGTTGGGCCTTCCCTTGTACAAGCTGTTCTGTTTAGGACAGGGCTACATTTAGGTTCAGTCCTCTTTTAACATCCCTTTGTTCTGATCTCCCACAAGGTAAGCGAGATCCAGAAGCTTGACAGTCAGGTCAAGGAGCTGGTCCTGAAGTCATCTGTGGAGGCAGAGCGACTGGTGGCGGGCAAGCTCAAGAAGGACACGTACATTGAGAATGAGAAGCTGCATTCCAACAAGCGCCAGGAGCTGGTCACCAAAATTGACAACATCCTTGATGCACTATAACTTCAGAACGCGAGCAGTTAGAGGAAGGGGGAGAAAAGTGAAGTAAGATTAAAAGGCCTAGGAGAGGACACACTGAGCCAAACCTGTCCTGCTCTTCAGCCAGAAAAATGGGGAAGGGGGAAAATGCAAAGTGGAAAATGTTGCCTGCAAATAATGTTTTTTTTTTTTTAAACCTTAGACCTTTTGTTTTTAGAACCTGTCTCCATAGCTACTGCCATGTCAGGGACCATTGTATGGCACCTCATAATTCAATGCAACGGGGTTCCATACATGAAAGACAAAACTAGTTTAAAACAAGTCTCCAACTCTGTATTTTGCTGTGAGCAGAAGCCCTGGCTGTCCTTACATAATGAGCCTGACCTTCTGTATGCAGAAACAGGTCTAGAAAGAATAAAGGCCATTTTGTTTTCCAAAGGCTTTACAAAAATTGCTCCCCTTTGAAGTTATACTTTTATATTTTGGGGATAAGGAAATAAAGGAAGAGGGGGGTTATACTGTGACTTTTGTCACAAAAGCGCTGTTTTTCAGGTAGCAGTGTTCTGAGCCCGTTTAAAAAGAACCACAGGGTGGCCAAACCAGCTGCATGCAAGCCTGTACTGTGGTGCAAGATGCGTTTTCTTTTTTTTAAATGAGTTGCGGAGGAGAGACCGGGTTGAAATAAAGCGGGGAGAGGGCACATTAGTTCTGTTTGTTCCTGAAGCCAGTCTCTAGAAGACTTGGCCTCTTGCCTGGGTGCTGTCCTCGAGTGCTGGATCGCTCGGGGATTTTCTCTCCACTGTACTACCTCTTCTGCTCCCACCCACGTGCAGTGTGGACCTGATTCACCGTAGGTAGGAGCTGGGTCATGCTGAAAAAGAAGGAGCTTGGGGGCTAAGGCCAGCTGGGCAAAGGGCCAGGGCCATCACCATGTTGCTAGAAGTGGGGAAACTTCTCTGGGTACTCCAGGTATTGCTTTATTCCCCCACCTTCCTTTCTGCTCCTCCTCGGGGGCTGGGAGGCACCTGCCTCTGTCTGCTCC